GTAAGTTTAAGTAAGTACCTACATGATTAATATTATAAATTGTATTGGCATACATGATTTTATCATAACATTAAGCTTCATTTAATAAAAATATATTACTATCTAAAGATTCAACATTTATTTGCTTCATAAATTCAACACATTGAATTTTTTCGCTTAAGGATTTAAAAGAATAATAATCGTCAATATCAAAATTGTATAAGAAATCAGAATTGATTTTTTTAAATTTGACATTTTTACGACGCATTGCTCCATATCTACGTGAAGCAAGAGTCTTGGCAATTGATGGCACATTTGGTGTCATTCCGCGAGTTCCTGCTGATTCCGAGCAGTTGATCACAATCCACGCTGTCTTGGACAATGTCGTAAGAGATATGTTAACATTAGATAATCAATTTACTTACATATTTAATTTATTTAAATTGTATTTTCTTCAATTTACATTTGTAATTTAAGTCAGTTCCTATGGTATATGCATTATTAAATCGTAGAACAGAAAACGTCTATATAGGACTGTGGCAATATGTGCGAAATAATTTACCAGAAGATATTTTTGACTGGCAAAATGTAAGTGTTGTATCAGACTTTGAAACAGCCATGCGAAATGCAATACAAATAGTGATTCCAGAATGCCAATTGATCGGGTGCTGGTTCCATTTTTGCCAGKCAATAAACAAATTGTGCATTAATGTTTTTATTATTGTATAGTATTTTTCTGGATTCTTTAATCTAGATATGAAACAGATTTATGTATAACAATTTTTATGAGTTTCAAGTTAAATTTTCTTAAAACATAATATAAATTATTTATATTGAAAATAATAATAATATATGATTTTATATTAAAAAATATAACTACTAGTTTCTACATTTGGTCATCACTCATCAGGCTACATACTTAACACGTCTTTATAATAACAAATGATCATAATAAATTATAATGAATTATATTTCTCAACTTGAACAGAGTATACTTAGTATAACTTATGTATATTATGTCATATTATATTATATCAATGTAAAATACAATAGTATTTTAAAAAAAWTAGGTACTTTAAAAAAACTATTAACTAAAAAAAAGTTTTCTAGTTCCCTGTTTTTTTRATGTATTTATAAATTATAATTAAAGAATTAATCCCTAAAATTGGAGATCGTGCAAAATTAAAATCAAACCTTGCTGAGTGGAGAAATGTAATAAATATCACAAGTACACCATTCTTGGTAAGAATAAATTTGTATTGTGTTAAGTTAATTTATAAAAATATATTGGTCTAAGAAAATTGTTTTTTAAGTT